ATAAATTTATAAAATATAAATAGTATAAAAAAAATTGAAATAAGTTGGAAGTTGCATCCCAAACGGACCCTTATTCAAATAATTTTGGACCTGAATATATTCCGCGAATGCGAGCTTGAATACTAAGATCTTAATCTCTAAAATATATTGGACTAACGGATGTTGATTTTTACCCCCTTTTTTTTGCGTGCAGGAGGTACGTGCAGCTGTCGAAATCTAGCTGGTTGTCGTTTACTAGTTACAACGGCTGCTAGTTGAGTATACTGTTTTTATGGTCTTTCTTGAGATTGTTGTTGATATTAACACTAATTATCTTGAAAATATTTAATCAAAGTGTATTGTGAATACATTCAAGAAAGCTCAGAATTGCATTTTTATTTGATGAATAATGTAAAATGTGGATCGATAGACTTCACAGTTCACCCTCGTCAAAGTCCCAAGACCATTTAAATGCTTTCCCCAGAGTTTGGTACCTGAAACCGCCAGCAAACCTAACTCCCTTGTACCATCTCTGCAGTGTTCCCCCTTTTATTTATTTATTTTTTTTTTTTGGGTGTTTATGCACAATTTTAAAGGCCTACCCGACCCCATGATTCAATATATGATATGTCTGACTCTATTCAAATTTATAAAATGATGCTTATATATTAAGGGTTTTTCTAGTTTACAATACAAGTTAAATATTGTAATAAATATATTTTTTATAATTAATTTTTATAAAAAAATTTATAAAATTTTATTTTATTTTAATCTTATTGATGCATAAGTAATTTTAATTAGTTAATTAATTAATTTAAAATTAATATTTATCTTTCTCATGTAAATTAATTAAAAAAGTACATTAATTATATTTTTTAATATATATTCTTAAGATATAGATTAAAAAAACTCATACTATTAAGGGTTTTTTTGTACTCTTATGGCATAAAATAAAAAGTGTAATAAATATGTTTTTTTATAATTAATTGCTATTAAAACAATAAATGTTAACTTTGATTTAATCAAGGGTTTGTTTAGCACATGTTAAACTTTATTGATTACAAAATTTGTAATTAATTTTATGCAAATTATCATATCAAATTCATATATTTTTACGAATTTTAAGTATAAATATTTTATTTTATTTTAATTTTACATTTTATATTTTATTTTAATTGAATCTAGCACAAAAATTTATACAGAATTAATTTAATATACTATAATGAAGCTTGAGGCACATGTTAAAAAACTTTTTTAATCAATTAAAATATCTATGTATCAATAGTATTAAAACATATGTCAACTTTTATAATATTTTATATAAATTAATTATAAAAACTATATTTATTGTACTTTTAAAATTTAGATTAGACAAATCTTATTATCTAACTTATGCTTTAAGGAGACATGTTAAATGAGTTTTTTTTTTTTTTTGAACTTTTTGTCATGGGGCGGGTTTTGAACCCGTCTAGGGGAGGGGGATATGCACTTTTTCAATGACACTAACCATTAAGTCACAATGGCCAAGTGCACATGTTAAATGAGTTTTAAATGTATTTTTCATATATTAATTTACAAAAAAAATTAATATTACTTTCAATATCTATAACATATGAATATTTTTTATTAGACAATTGATAAAATTAATATCGATTTTTAATTTTATTATCTATATTAATAATAAAAAAAATACAATATATACATCCTAATATATGATATAAAAAAATCCTAATAAATATAGTCGGTTTCTTTGCACCGTTCTCTTGTTCCATTTTCTTTTCTTTTGTTTTCCCACGGAAGAAACACAACTGAAATAAATGCTGGGTCGAGTTCTCTGAGAGTAATTACTACCATGGTGTCGTCCAACTCTGCATGTCATTTTCACATTTACTCCTTCTTTCCCCATAAATCTTCTTCCGCAATCCTCTCAAGAATCCATCATTAATGCTTTTGTTATCAAGTTCTGTGCAATCCAAAACCTCAAAACAAAAAGCCATCATTTACTCCTTCCTCTGTTTTTCAAGCGTTTCATTACAATGATGATTCAAGTTTGTAATTCATTCGATGCCCAAATTTATTGAAATCCGGCTTCAGACTAGTCCATTCTTCTTTCTTGCACTATGTTTATTGTTTATTTAATGAGGTGTTCTCTTTACTTGATAGGATAAGGATATCACTTGCATTTAAACCATCTCTCTCTTGCTCTGTTCTGGTAGTTGCGTTCACCATGTGCTTGCTTCACAGTTCTTTTGTCGCCAACCACACACATATTCTCATGTCTTTTCTTTTGCAGATTCAAGGGAGATTTAAAAGGGGGTGTGGTGGTTGTGGGTGAATATTAATAGAGGTGAACTACTGAAAGAGATGGGGAGGACACCCTGTTGTGATAAAAAGGGTTTGAAGAAAGGGCCATGGGCTCCTGAGGAAGATGAGATCCTCATAAATTACATCAAGAAAAATGGCCATGGAAGCTGGAGATCTCTCCCCAGGCTTGCAGGTTTTGCTCCTTCTTGGGTTCTTGCTTTAGATCTGTTATTCCTCTGTTCTGTTCCTCGTTTTTGCCAAGTGTTTGATGAATGTTCACTTTAAAATGAACCCAAATAAGTTAGTGTCAACTTTTGTCTTTGTGCTGTTGATTCTGCTACACGACTTTACCTGAAACTCAAAACAAAACAATCTGTTGGAAAGTGCTATTGGTTTAAGTATACCTGCTTTGTTGTAGTAAGTTAGTAACGATCTGTATTTTGACAAGCAATCTCCCCTTAAACATCCTACCTTTCTCTCTTAAATTTCAGGCCTTCTTCGCTGCGGCAAGAGTTGCCGGCTGCGGTGGACCAACTATCTCCGGCCAGACATAAAAAGAGGTCCCTTTACTGTTGAGGAAGAGAAGCTTGTCATCCAGCTCCATAGCATTCTTGGAAACAGGTATTCTGTTGTTCATTTGTTAATTTTCTGCACTTTCGAGATCTTTAAATTGTGTTAGAAAGAATATAAATATGCTTTATTTTTATAAATTCTTTGGATCAATGGTTTGCAGGTGGGCTGCCATTTCTGCTCAGTTACCAGGAAGAACAGACAATGAGATAAAGAATTTGTGGAACACCTACCTAAAGAAGCGCCTGGTCTGGATGGGTATTGATCCAGAAACCCACGAGCCCTTCACCTCCTGCGGACCAACTACCAAAGCACCTGCATCTCCAGCCACTCGCCACATGGCTCAGTGGGAGAGTGCGAGGCTGGAAGCCGAGGCTCGGCTTTCAAGGGAGTCCCTGCTCTTCAATCCACATCCTCATGGGAAAAGTAGTGAATCTGATTATTTTCTTCGTCTGTGGAATTCTGAAGTTGGAGAATCGTTCAGGAAGCTGAACGGAGGACAGAAAGCTGGAAGTCAGGGGAGCCCTGTCTCCCAAGCTTCTTCTTCCACGAAATGTGGGTCAGTTTCAGCTGCCACCATGGAGGTTTGCCTAAAGTTATCAGGGTCCTCGACCCAAACAAGCAATCAAAATAATGATACAAAGTGCAAGACCTCCAAATCATGCACTGAAGATGGCATTGCAGGGTCAGATTCGTCGAGTTGCAGTGAATTGGACGATGCACCAGACACAGCTTTTCAACTGCTGCTGGATTTCCCCATTAACGATGACATGAGCTTCTTGGAAAACTTCGACAACTATGGTATTGCCACCTCTTCTGCAATGTTGACTGAAATCTGCCCTCTCTGAAGCTTCCTTCAAAGATGATCTATTTGTATAATAATTTTGAAGGCCTAGAACGTAGGATGGATTCAATAGTTAGAGAAGACGATGCTAGATTGCCAGTATCCAAGGCAAGTTTATTTGTTTGTTGTATATTACTCTATGATGGGACTTGGATTAATTCAATAGTAATATTGAGGCTCATTATTTGCTTTCATTTTACGTAAAAAGAGAAGAGTTTCCTCGATAGTGTAAAACAGTAATCATAGGATGAGAAAACAACATACCTCAATATCAAGATTCACTTTCATTAGATGGTCTCAATATCAAGATTCACTTTCATTAGATGGTCTCAATATCAAAGATTTACTTTCATAAAGATAGTTTCAATTGTATAATTTAAATTGCATGATATTTTTTTTTAAAAAAAAATTAGAATTAAAACAATTGATTTTTATTTAAAGTGGTAAAAGAATCATAAAATTAATTAAAAATTCAGACTTTATTAAGTTCATGAAAGTGAAAATACAAATAAACAAAACCCCATGAAGGAACATAAAAAAATGTGGAAATGGAGAAGTTCAATTATGGAAATGAAGAGGTGCATTCTAATCAGAGAGCTCGTCCTTTGACAATATCCAAGCTCATCTCACTTGGATCTGTTGCTTGCAACTCAACTTGAATTCCGTCCAACTCTCTCTTGAATCTATCCTTGGAACTTGCATACAACATCTTACTCCTCACTCTTGATTTATCTGGTGCCCTACATATTTACATATTAACATGTAAATGTAAATATGTACACATTACTTAACATATCCAGTGACCAAAAATGCAAGAAATAACCAAAAAAAAAAAAAAATACAAACCAAGCAATGAAGAAAATCTTGCTTTTCTGGCAATTCTCATCAGTGATAAAATCGAAATCGAAAACAGCATAGCGACATTCATTATCTGGCAAAGAGCTGGTGAGTTCTTCGTAGGTGGATTCAGGAGTCCCAACCTTCTCCACCATTACCTGTTGTATACTCTCATCAATCTTGAACACAATGAACCTGTAGTTCCTCTTTGCCTTCAGTTCCAAAAACTTCAGTTTGCACTCATCATTCACAGCCATTCCAGATGACGAATTCGCCTACCACCAAACACGTATAATAATTTGCCACATTCATCACATACATACCAAGTCATTTCAGTGCAATTCAGATAGCTTTCTAATCATCTTCTTGTTTCATGATAAAATCAACCAGGCAGTGAATGCCAATATATATGTTGCCGGATGGATTAGTCATGTCATTTATCTTTTTAATAATCATGAACAATGTGCAACACATGAACTTAGTTTATGGGATGAGCGAAAGCGATACTGCTTGCCACTTACTCAATCAAAATTTGAAGACTTTTGGCCCCACTTCCCTTCCCCATTCCTCAAAAACTATAGTTGTTAAAACAATAATAATAATAATAATAATATGCAACACATAATTTACATCAAATTCATCCCCACATTATGTTTGGTTAATTAGACAATTGCGGAATAACACTTTTATTTTTCTTAGTCCTCTCCTATTGGCTAAATTGAGATTCGATTTTAGATTATTGATAGAATCATAAAAAAAAACTTTACCAACATCATTCCTCGACATTTGATTGAATATTACCAAGTAAATCCAAAATTTCAATGGATATTCAAAGCATAACCAAAATTACATAGAAAAAAACACAGTGGATAGAGAAACATACCATTTTGATGTCCAATGAGAGATGAAGTTTTCTGCAATGGTTGGAAGTGGAGAAATGAAACGATTAGAGATCTGAAAGAGAAAATACTTTTGGGATATATGAGATTTCCATGAAATAATGAAATTTTATTTTGTTTAAAATTTTTTATATTGCCACGTTGTACTGATTTAAACCGTTGAAATTTCGGGTTAACATATTAATTCCTAATTTAGCATTTTATTGATCCTAATCTTCCCTCCACTTCGCAAGTTTGTTGCTAGGAGTTCGAGGCAGCCGGGTCGATCCGATTCCATGTCGGGTTCAGATTTCAAACCGCCCGATTTAAATTCAGCCCATCAAAATATAAAGAAGAAAAATGTTCTGGAATATTTTTTTTAACTTTAAAAAGATTTTACACAATTCAAACTATTTTGAATTACGGAATTTAAATCATTGGACGAAATGAAACTCT